TTTCTGACAACCTAGTTACTGAATAAAAATATAAAAAACTGTTTTCTAGTATTTAATCTAATGAGAATAGAACACAAGTTTTGCTATTAAACAAAATGCATAGAATTTTACAAGTTTCTTTGAATATATGTTTTATAATAATTTCGAATCATAATTTTAATTAATATATAAATGAATTAATTATTTTAAAGTTGCATGAGTAGTCAAAAAATCCTCAGTCTTTGCACTTATAAATATATTTTCTATATATACTTTTTTTTGAGCCATTTAAGAGTAAGTTGCAGATATTATGGCCTTCAAACGTTAATTATTTTTAAAAATATATATTTTATTGATTTTTTACAGAGAGGAAGGGAGAGGGATAGAGAGTTAGAAACATCGATGAGAGAGAAACATTGATCAGCTGCCTCCTGCACACCCCCCACTGGGGATGTGCCCACAACCAAGGTACATGCCCTTGAACGGAATCGAACCTGGGACCCTTTAGTCTGCAGGCCACACTCTATCCACTGAGCCAAACCAGTTAGGGCAAAGCTTAATTGTTTTAAAAAATGTATGTTCTTATTGGTTTTAGAGAGAGAGGAAGGAAGGAAGGGAGAGAAAGGAGAGAAACATCAACCAGCTGCTCGGGCATGCTCCCCACTGGGGAGCGAGCCTGAAACAGGGGCATGTGTCCTGACCAGGAATCGAACTGGTGACCTTCTGGTGCATGGGATGACACTCAACCAACTGAGCCACACCAGCCAGGGCCAAACCTTAATACTTAGCTGGGAAAAATACCACACCCAGTAACTGTAGAATAATCCAGTATCGGTTTTTTCAGCAACACCCACTCAGACAGATAATAATCGTGGTTGATAGCATCATTTTACATAGTAGCATCATCTGACTTGAACAATGGAGATAAAAATCTAGCTGTAAGAACAATTAATATAGTCTTTTCATTCAACAGATATTTAATAACGAGTAGGCTGGTGCCCTAGTGTGCCAGGGTCCAGCCCCGGGGGTCCAGGGGTTCCCAAAGGTGTGGATGGAGTCGGCAAAGAATGTTTTACACGGAGACAGCGTTCAGAACTCTCTAGCTCTCTTTAGTCTCCGTGGATCTTCCCTGTGCCTGGCTGAGGCCACAGAGAAAGATCCAGAGGCAAACTGAGCCTTTATTTTATAGTCAGAGGTAAACAAGGTAATGGTTACCAAAGTTACACTGTTCTTGTGAGTTTCACTTGTTTTGACCATAGTTACACTGTTCTTGTGAGTTTCACTTGTTTTTGTTCTTGCTGCACTTCCCTCAGCCCATTAGCTTTCCAGATAAGATCTAGGGAGCGTCATAAGGTCAAGCCTAAATATGCTAAGAGGACTGTGCCCTCTAAGCTGGGACTTGTTTGTGACTTTGCCAACAGGTCAGTCCAAGGTTTAACCCTGTAGCGGCTCCCCACACTAGTGGATGGAAGAATAAAACGTCCATATTTTGTTCAGTTGAGAGTTGCTGAGCTCAGAAAGTTTTCTCTCTCTCTCTCCTATTTTCTCCTTAAACACGGTAGCATTTTCTTTCAGAATGAGAAGAGGATTTAAAATAAAATTGGATGTGCCCATAGATTAAGGATCAAAGGATCAAATCAGAGATGTAAAGTGCTCAGCTTTCAACTCTCCAAGGATTCAATTTTGTTTTCCTCAGTGTTTTTATTAATGCAGCGGTTCTCAACCTGTGGGTCGAGACCCCCTTGGCGGTTGAACGACCCTTTCACAAGGGTCGCCTAAGACCATCCTGCATATCAGATATTTACATTACGATTCATAACAGTAGCAACATTACAGTTATGAAGTAGCAACAAAAATAATTTTATGGTTGGGTCACAGAAGGTTGAGAAGGGCCAGAAGGTTGAGAACCACTGTATTAATGTTAAATGTCTGCTATAAGCTCAGCTGTTTCTACTTTTGTGGAAGTTGGAATGAAATTGGAGGACATCAAATGGGTCTTTAAGAAGTTTCTCTTTCTTGCTTCAATTGCTTGTCTTCCAATGATGTTAACACTCAGTGGGTGCTAGCAGTACTAAGGAAACTCTTTCATTTCTCACCCTGAATACACATCCTATCTAGACCTCCTCAGGATTTCAAATCACTCTGCCATTAATAGCCATAGATATAGTGAGATCATATTAAGTATAGAGTGGACAATTAACACATATGCCCTTATACCAACGTTGCCACAGGAGCTCTGAGGAGTAAAAGGGGGGGGTGCAGACAGAGGGTCAATAATAATACTTGGCTTTTAGTTAAGTGCACTGGATTTCCAGTGCTATCCTTTGTGAACAAAGCACTCTTGTGTAGAAAGTTCGTTATTATCACTATAGAGATCAGCATAAATAACAAGAAAGCAAAATGTCTGCTATAAGCTCAGCTCATCTCTACGAGCAAGAGAGTTTTATAGTAACTACTAGAGGCTCGGTGCATGAAATTCATGAACAGGTGGGAGCCCTAGGCATGGCCGGCGATCAGGGCCATCAGGTTCCTTGCCTCCCTGCCTCCTCCTTCCCTTGCCGACTGCATGCCACCACCATGCAGTTCCCTGCCTCTCCCCCTCCCCCTACCCTCCTTCCCTTGCTGCTCATGTCCGCTGCCACCCACTCCCGGTTCCCTGTCCCAACCCAGGGCCCCGCCCAAATCAGGTGATCAGGGCCTGCTGGCCGGGGGTAGGGGCCAACTGCCACCACAGCAGGCGGGCTGTGGGCCAATCGGGAGGGGAGGTTGAGGGGGGACGGGAGGAGGGACCCAGGAGATTGGCCGCCAGCCTCTAGGGGGGAGCCGGTCCTTGGCACCCCTGGGAAAGGGGCCACGTCCACCACCACCCACCCCTGGTTCCCATCTCAGCCCGGCGGCCCAGGGGGAGAGACTGGGAGGTTGGCAGGCAGGCCCCATCAGCGATTGGGGCCTGCAGGCTGGGGGCAGCTCCTGCATTGAGCGTCTGCCCCCTGGTGGTCAGCGTGCATCATAGCGACCGGTCATTCCAGTCGTTCTGTCCTAATGGTTGCTTAGGCTTTTATATAGAGAGATTTTATTTTATTTTTTTTATCCTCACTTGAGAGTATGTTTTATTGGTTTGAGAGAGAGAGAGAGAGGCCAGTGTGAGAGAGAGAGACATCAGTTGGTTGCGTCTATATGCCACCACCAGGGGTCAAACACAACCTAGGTATGTGCCCTGACCAAAATTGAACCCAGAACCTTTTGGTGTACAGGACAATGCTCTAACCATCCAGCCAGGTCTATAGCAACAATTTAAAAGCAGCAATCAGACCTTTATTCCTAGTTTTAAGCACAAACATTTGGAACACAATTATTTCTCATATTTAAGAGGACAATTTTGTGAGAGATAGCTAAACTTTAGTTACAACCTCATATTGTGTGCTCCCTGATAAGAAACAACTTCTTTCCAGATGAATAGAACATAACTTTCTGATTTAGTAACGTCTAATACTGTGAGGGTACTGCCATCTTTCTGGTGCCAATGTGTCTTTGGTAATTAAGGTCTGAAGAAAAATACTTTTTAATGTGAACACAAGTAAAATGCACTTTATTTTTGTTGCACTTATAGTCAAAACATATAAAAGGTTAAAAAAAAATCCGACTAACCTATTGCCTGCTGTAGAAATGTAGAGTCAGTGAATATTTATCAAGCTCCTCTGGTACATGATACTATCTCATGTATTCATGAATGTGGAAATACATTAAAAAGTTGATGATGCAATTTGATTCGATAACATTATGCTGTATTAAGCTGTGATTTTTCCATAAGATAATGTGTCTTTTCATATTTTGAGTGATTCAGGAGAGCAGCTAGTTAAGAATAATAGCATTTAACATTAAACAAAAATTTTCCAGTATTTAAAAAATAGAATGCAATTAAGTAGCTGTCATCAGATCTTTCTCTTATTTTGTTTCATTCTTTAAAATGACATCTTTTTATAAGCAGTGAAAACCACTGTGTATCATCTTAACTGAATCCTCTCATTTACACTTATTTTCTCAGGAATTAATTCATACACCTGGGTTGGTTTTTTAATTTTTTTTTTTTGTTTAAGAAGGGAGGTGCTTGCTTCAGTGACATAGAACTCCTACAATGATTCATCATAATTTTCTATGTGGAACGTATTCTGGTAGGTGAGGCACATACATGGGCATCACCAGTGGCTTTTCATAAGCCTCGGACAACTTTAGCTACACTTTGGGAAGAAGAAAAACAACATTTTACTTACATTATGCTAAATTAACAGCATCTATTCATCTTTCATGAACTTCTGTTCCATGAAACACTTCCCAGTATCTAATAAACAATTTGAGAGTGTGGGACCATGTGTGAGTTCTTAATGTGTTCTTTGGCGTTAAGCACAAAACAGTCCATGTTGTAGGAGGAGGTTGATATGTCCTTGTTGAATTGGAACAATTCATTGCAAAATTCCAGTTTGCAGATAAAAAATTTAGTACATAAGGGCTAAAAAAAGGGATTGGCTTGGGGAAACAAAGAAACCTTAGTTCTTCTACAGTTCCTAACATTCAAACCTAATATATTTCTGTACAGAAGCATATTACCCAATCCAATTGGGTGTCATTTAGAGTTGAAGCTTGGAAAAAAAGATAAAACATAATAATAAAAAGTAACTTTAAATTTCTTATGTATTATTGCATTTGAGAGTATTGATGTGCTCTTTGGAAAAATAACCAAGGTTCTTTTTTAACTGGCATGGAAAGAAAGTGTTGCATTAAGAGTGGGGTTGCCCTGACCAGTTTGGTTCAGTGGATAGAGCATCGGCCTGCGGACTGAAGGGTCCCAGGTTCAATTCCGGTCAAGGGCATGTACCTTGGTTGTGGGCACATCCCCAGTGGAGGGTGTGCAAGAGGCAGCTGATTGATGTTTCTCTTTCATCAATGTTTCTAACTCTCTATCCCTCTCCCTTCCTCTCTGTAAAAAATCAATAAAATATATATATATTTTTCTTTTTTTTTTCCTTTGTAGCAGTACTTAGTGTCCAACAGAAAGCACTCCATCTGTTAAACAATATCTCGACTGCAAAGCTTCTCTCACTGTTGGTGGATAGATAATGACACAGACAGTCACTATCGCCGTGGCAACAGTGGAATTTCACATTGCACATGGCAGGCTGGCTCTCGAGCAGTCATGCCTCAGCTTCCTCCGGGGTTTGCTTTTCCTGCAAGTCTGGTGTGCCCTCGGGTACCGCCAACCCAGCGCGGCTCCAAGACTGCAGGCCTAAAATATATATATTTTTAAAAACCCTTAAAACAATTATCTTTCAATTAAAAAAAAAAAGTGGGGTTGTGAGGATGGGCAACAAAAGTTCTTAGAGCACTTAATCCTATCAGCGCTAACTGGCTGTCACAGATGTCCCATCCTGGATCAGTCCAAAAAATGACCCGAAATGACAAATTATAATATAAAACTTCAATATAAGTGCCTTTCTCATTAAAGAAATGAATAAAGGAAGAGCCTCATGACATTTAAGCAATATCTTTAACACGGCCCAGCTGCCTCGTTTATACAATGAGAAGTTGTATTGGCTTGGGGAAATACTAGATCCCTCCCACACAACTTTCGTAATGCTTTTTCAGGAACAAAAAGGTCTCATGGCTGAAACAAGGAACTGACAAAAACCACTTACTGCAAAAGTAATGATAAAGATGATGATACAATAAAACATAGTATCACCGTTCAGTAATGCGAACTGGCGGATTTATGTAGCTCTGTTAGTCACCTGATGTCATCCATAGTTCTAACATTTTGTCCACATTTGCCGTTAAACGGATTTGCGACATTCTGGAGAAAGAATGACTACACAACTACAGGACATTTTGTTCCAGGCTTGGGGTTGCAGCTCTCTGAGCTTCCTTCATTCTGCAAGTTATGAGTCAGGTATTTAACATCTTGGTGTTCTCCACTATATTGCAATCGCCTACAGGGCAGGGATTACACCCCATTCATGTCTAGATCCCACTCTAATTTGCATAGCGCTTTGCAGATGGTAGGTACTCAATAAACGTCACGTGAGTGATCTCTTTGTCTATAAAATAATGATGGAACCTAGTTTTTAAATGGAATTTCACACTGAGTGACTGCACTGCAAGCGAGGACTCAGAAACCTCCCTTTGAACCCCCCTCGCTTTTGGACGCTCTGTTCACCCTGCACGCCTTCTCCCAGCACAGCCTTCCGCAGGCCATTTCCACCCAGGAAAAGGAATTGTATAGTATGTCCGCTATCAGAACCTCCACTCCTTCGACCCCTTTGCTGATGCAAGTCAGTGTGATGATCTGCTTCCTGCTGCCACTGAGGACTGCTAGTACTAGTATCTATACATATAAAACTCTAATAAACAAATAGACTGAATGGCTGAACAACTGAACAACCGAACAATGGGTTGCTATTACATGCGCTGACCACCAGAGGGCGCGTGCGGTACATGGCAGGATAGTGGAACAGGTGAGCAGGGGCACCAGACCAAGGTGGGTCACCGGTCACTGTCATCAGGGCGAGCCTCTGGTGGTTACTGAAAATTCTTTGCTCCTGCGTGTTGTGGTCCTTCCTGGTGCTTGCACCTGCTGCCAGTGGTGGCCCTGCTCGTAACCGCTGCTGGTGCCAGAGCCACCGCTCACACCCGCTGCCAGCACCCGGTGCCAGCCCCGATTGCTTGGCGCCATAAGCGGGTGCAAGCGGTGGCTGCCAACCTTGATCGCCCCTGAGGGCTTCTCCACCTCCCCCTGCTTCTGAGGGGCGATCGGGGCAGTAGCCACCACTTGCACCTGCTGATGGTGCTGGCCCCAATCGCTCTGTGCTGTCAGTGCATGGGAAGGGTGGTGGTGGGAGCGGGGCTGCGGGCAGACAGGGGACCAGGGGCCACTGTGGGAGGGGCTGTGCAGGGGCGCGGAGGATGGTCTGAGACCCGCCCCTGTGCCCATGGCAGCCTCGCGACCCGCAGTTTCTTTCTTTTTTCTAAATATATTTTATTGATTTTTTTACAAAGAGGAAGGGAGAGAGAGAGTTAGAAACATTGATGAGAGAGAAACACCGAACAGCTGCCTCCTACACACTCCCCACTGGGGATGTGCCCGCAACCAAGGTACATGCCCTTGACCGGAATCGAACCTGGGACCCTTGAGTCGGCAGTCCGAAGCTCTATCCACCAAGCCAAACCGGTTAGGGCCACAGTTTCTTTCAAGGTACACGAATTCGTGCAATCTGCCCCTAGTATCCATATAAGCATTCAACAGAGAAATGGCAGGAAGACTCTTACCACTGTCCAAGGGATCCTGGTGATTATGATAAAATGAAACTAGTGAAGGCCTTTAAGATGAAATTTGCCTGCAATGGTACTGTCATTGAGCATCCAGAATATGGAGAAGTAATTCAGCTGCAGGGTGACCAGTGCAAGAACATATGCCAGTTCCTCGTAGAGACCAGACTGACTAAGGACGACCACCTGAAGGTTCATGCATTCTTGGCTCACTGAAGCTTAAGTGAGGATTTCTTTGCAATGAGTAGAATTTCCCTTCCGTCCCTTGTCCACAGGTTTAAAAACCTCACAGCTTATATAATGTAACCATATGGGGTCTGCTTTTAACTTGAACTCGTGTAACTCCTTCATGCAATAAACTGAAAAGAGCCATAAAAAATGGAATTTCACATTAAAGAATATAATATTCATATAGTATCTATCACCTAAAATATTTCCTTTTCCTTATGCTCATTAAACTTTTGACCCTTTCTCCAGGGATCAGATCAAGTTCATACTTCTCTATGAAGCACTAATTGGTTGTTACAGCCCTTGATGATGGCTTCTTATTGGGTGACATATTGGGTCTATATCACATTAGACTTAAAGTTCATTATAGGGAAGAAGAGTTCAATGTCTCCTTGTACCCTGAAATCATGGTGCCTTCACAACAAAGGTGCTAAGTAAGTATTTATATGTAATAAGTATATGCAGTGGCCATAGTGCTCATGACCAATAATTCGTGGTTTACTGTTAAGATCAGTTGCTTACAGCAAACCAAAAGATACTTTAACTCCATATTTTCTATGAGGAAGGTGCTCTGGGCATGCAGCCTTGCTCCTGTATCCCTTGGTCCAGGCCTCTGTTCCAGGTGCCTGCAGCCTGTCTCAGCTTACACCCAGGCAGAGCTTTCTATATATTTTATTGTCTTAGTTCTGGAAGTCAGGGAATTGGGAGGAAGATCAAATGTTTAAAAAAAGAAATAGCAGCACAATTCACCATAGCTAAGATCTGGAAACAGCCTAAGTGCCCACCAGTAGATAAATGGATTAGAAAACTGTGGTACATCTACACGATGGAATACTATGCTGCTGTAAAAAGAAGGAACTCTTACCATTTGCAACAGCATGGATGGAACTGGAGAGCATTATGCTGAGTGAAATAAGCCACATGATCTCACTCATTTATGGATAATAAAGACCATTATAAACTTATGAACAAAAATATATACAGAGGCAGAGCTGCCTCGAACAGACTGTCAAACTACAGCGGGAAGGCCGGGAGGGTTGGGGGGCAGGAGCGGAGAGGGTAAGAGATCAACCGAAGGACTTGTATGCATGCATATAAGCATAACCAATGGACATAAGACACTGGGGGGTAGGAGAGGTCAGGGGATTGTCAAGGGCGGGTTAAAAAAAGGAGACATGTAATACTCTTTGTAATACTTTAAGCAATAAATAATAAAAAAATAATAATAATAAAAAGAAATTTCTTACCAAAAAAAAAAAAAATCAAAATATCTTTCATGAGTTAATTATGAATATATTGTAAGAAGGGTAACCAAAGAACAGACTAGAAAATTTTGAGGACATTATTTCTAATGGAATAATTTGGATACCCACAATTGAACTTATGTAATGATGTATAACATCTATCTATATAAAAGCCTAATATGCAAAGTGTCCCCTCGGGAGTTCGACCCACCGGGAGTTTGATCTCTTGCTATGACGTGCGCTGACCACCAGGGTGGCTGCTAGGGACTCTACCTGTGCACGAATTTTGTGCGCCGGGCCTCTAGTAGAAATATAAATGTAATACAGTGGGGCCTTGACTTATGAGTGTCCCGACTAACGAGTTTTTCAAGATACGAGCCGTCTCTCGGCCGATTTTTTGCTTTGAGTTGCGAGCTAAAATTCGGGTTACGAGCCAGCTTCAGATACCCCACCGCTAGTTGGCGCAGCGAACATCACAGTGAACGCCACAACATCAGCCCAGCATCACGTGTCTCACTCGTTCACTTTAAGATTTGATATACAAGTAATTTGAGTTACGAGCTCTGTCACGGAACGAATTAAACTCGTAAGTCAAGGCCCCAATGTATGTCATATGGAAACAATTATATCTCCATACTCCAAAACTAGTCCAAGAAGGCCTGAGGGTAGAAGAGGGACCAAAAGAGGAGAGAGGAAGGAAAGAAGGAAGAAAAGGCAAGATGAAATGGGTATGAGGGAGGAGGGATAGTGCTAAGTGAAGCTTTGGGGAGAGTGTGGATGACTTTTGAGTGGTATATTTTGCCAACTCGGTGACAGGAGTGGAGCTCACACTTCACAGCAGATTAAGAAACTGGGTTAGGTGGGTGGGTGGGAAAAGAAAAACCAGATAACTTGTGTGCATATAAGAATAACACATGTACACAAATAATAGGGTAGTGGAGGCCTGGGGCTGAACAATAAGGGGTCAATGGGAGAGAAAAAGAGGACATATGTAATACTTTCAACAATATTTTTTTTTTTTAAAAGAAAAAAAAGCCCTGGCTGGTTTGGCTCAGTGGATAGTGTCAGCCTGCAATTAAAGGGTCCTGAGTTTGATTCCGGTCAAGGGCACATGCCCAGTTTGTGGGCTCAAACCCCAATAGGGGGCGTACAGTAAGCAGCCCATCAGTGATTCTCATCACTGATGTTTCTATTTCTCCCTCTCCCTTCCTCTCTGAAATCAATAA